TGTGTGTGTGTGTGTGTGTGTGTGTGTGTGTGTGTGTGCGCGTGCGTGCGTGTGTTTATAACATTGCCAGATTATACAATAGATAGACCAGGAGTCACCAACCTTATTGAATATGTGCAAAGTGCTACTGTACCAGTTTTATATACACTTCTGAAAAGTATTCTGAACACTTTGAATTACATATTTTACCTGTAATCCTGTAATCATCAATTAACTTCATGATTCATCTGTGTGAAGACACTGAACACCTTAATGATTTCTCACAATAATTTAACAAGGTCAGAAAGAGACGAATGTTAATGTGAAACATTTTATTTCCATTCATCTCTGCAGTGTTTACATTTTCAAATGATTACTTCTTCGACATTTTTTGAAATTCACAATGTCCCATTCCAGGAGAGCTATTTTCAGAAGAGGCCTGCAGCTACTCATGTGGTCCTTGGGGACTACCTGGTGTCCATGGTCCTTGGTGACCCCTGATGTAGACTATAAAACATCTGAACAGGTGCACTGATTCATTCACATTTCTCCCACATGTACAAAACCACTACATGTCAAAAAACAGGACACTGCTGAATGTGATGGCCAAAAACAATGTACCTCTACGGTCTTTGTCTTAACTTGTAGGACATCATTGGCATACTAGGGCAACTCTGTTACTACAAGTTTTAGGAAGTGAAAACTGTGCACGAGTTGACAACTGTATGCAACTAATAGTAATCCTCCTACTAGAGACAGTGCTTTTGAATATTCTCCTTTGTCCAAGTCATTTCATTTTCATTGTATTTAATCAATCACAGCTGGATGATTCTGAGACTTAGATGCTCAGACTTAGATGTTTTGCCTCTCATCCTTGCAGGCCTAATCAGGTCATGCACACAGGATATATTGGACAGCACATTCCCGAATATTCCATTCAGTTGTTATAATGCTGGGAGAGGAACCTGAAGGCCAAGTGTCGCTGTGTTGTTTATTTTAAGAGGCTAAATTATGAGAGTTGTTTTTCCAATACAGTATCAGTGACGTTGTAAAATTCTACTAGTTAGTTGTAGCACCATAAAGGTGTCAATGACAAATCTGCCACATTAGAGTAACGTGCTTGTTCTACTAATATGCCAAAGTTGTCCTTCGAGTAAACATAAATGTAATTCAGTAGTAGAAGGCAGCGGTGTAAAAACATATGTGTAAGACATAGAAGTTTGACTAATGCACTAAACTGTTTTGCTTGTGAAGGCAGAGCATAGGATATTGAATAAATGATCAAACGGCTTTCCATTAAAACAACTTTTTGAAGGGAAAAAAAGTGTTGGTCACCAGGTCAAAGAATATCTGTCTCGCTTTGCGTTTCAAGTCACAAGAAATTGACATTGACAATTATATTCATATTTTTCCAACAATGTGTGCTTTAAGTTTGCTCGCTTAAGTGTTGGATTTCAAGTCTCCATTGCATCCAAAGCGTTTCTGACAATTGAATTGTGTTTTATTTGGCACCGTTCTGTGGTTTCCTCCAGCAGCGAAAGGTCGAGTTGAGGCAAAGGGACCTTCCAGTATTGAAATGAGTTGTAAGTGCAATCTTCATTATCGGCGTCTGTCTGAATACATAGAAACAATTGAGGATGACGACAAAAAAAAAAAAAATCAGATAAACCACAAAATGGGCAAAGGGTGACATCTAGCGGTAATGGTTACGCTCTCGCGCCAACACCAGCAAATAGACTTCATTCAACATGTAAGGTAGATTCAGGTTACATTTTAGTTGACTTACTTTATCGTAAACCTTAGCAGCGGCAGTCCCCAATTCCACAGATTCTTCTCGGCGTCGTTTTCTGGCCGTGGTGGAGTCCAGGTATTCATGATAACGACCGCATGTGTGCGTATGAGACGTACTCTCCTTGGGCGCGTCTGGGTTTGTCGCCTTGAGATGCAGAGGCGCTTCTTCTTGTGGAACATCTGAAATTCCTAAGCTATGTCGTTTTTTTCTGCAACGATCACTCAACAAAGCTAGCGTGCAGGATGGGCTCACGACCCCGTACACAGCCATGCTCTCGAGCTGTAGGTCAACAACACGACAAAGAGACCGGGTTTTTTTCTTAGCGGGTGATTGGGAAAATAAAGTGTTGTCAGCGTGCCTCTTCGCCATGAAAGGGCAAATTATCAAAGTGCAGATACGCGCAACAGCTGACAAGTTACTTTCCGACAAAACTCACCCAACGCTTTAGTGTCCGGAAGCAGCTTGTTGAAGTCGACCAATCGAAGCCTAGTGTCACTGTTTGGTCCCGCCTTCAGGGAAAACTCAACCCTTTTCCGGCGAGCATTTCAGGCCGCCATATTGGAACGGTATGCATTTGTTCTTAAGTTCAACGTTATAGCAACAGAGAAATTCATTATTCAGGAGCAAAAAAAAAAAAAGAATACGTGTATATTTAGGAAAAGATAATACTTGAATTACTACTATGTTTATATGTATATATATATATATATATAAAACTCGGCGTCTATTTAGCACATCCGCCTCAAGAGTGCAGAGGTTGTGGGTTCGATTCCGCTCCGCGTGGCTTTTCTCCGAGTACTCCGGTCAATGATCAGCTCATCAGCTCCTCATTATTTGAATTATGTGTGTTGTTGCCGGGAGAGATGGAAAACAGGCAGGACAGCGGCCCTTGAGGACCGAGTTTGGACACCCCCGATTTCGAGTGTTCCATTAACCTGCCATGCATGTTTTTTGTTATGTAGTAATGAATGCAGCAAGCACACTGTCGTGGCACACTGAAGCAGGCTGCCACATTGTTGCTGTCAGCATCTTAACAGCAAGCATCTCATATCCATTTATTTCTAATTTTTCATTAATTTTGGAGGAATGTCCAGGTCTTGGTTTTGTCACTGTCGTGTCTTCACTGTGTTCCATGGTGTATTTAATGCCAAGGGAATTCTTTTGCATCCATCTCTTGAATGATACCTTTGAACAATGTTATCCCTCTGACGCCATGGAAGCTTTGTGCTGAACATGACTTGTGCTGTCAAGATGTGACTACAGAAATGTCAGAAAAAGTATATTAGAAAGCCAACTTTAATTTGGGTTAATCTGAGGTACTGGTTGCGGGAGTGTGCTGACTAGTAATGGCAGTTGGATCCTAAAACTTTAATAAATGCCTCTAACCCCTGACCTAGATTGCCACAGAACCACTGCTTTCAAATCTTGCTGCAAATCAGGTGCCATATGACGTCAGGAGCAGCAACTGCTTCAGTGTGTGAATGAAACATCTGAGTGGTTTGCGGTACAATCGGGCGATAAGATGTGTCGCAGAAGCATGGTGGTAATTTTGAGTTGATTCTCCACTTTGTCAATGCAAACAGATGATGCATCTCTGGCTAGTTCAGTAGGTTGATCTTCTATGTTTTGGGTTTTTCGTTCTATTCCCATACCAAGCTTTGTCTTTTTTTTGTCACTCATAGTTATAATCATACCATCTATAATATAGGGTTGATTTTCCAAGTACCAAACATTTTATGCACACCAGCATTATCTTTCCTTTTGAGCAATTATATTCCAAATATAGAAAAAGTTGTGAGCAAAAAAAATTAAAAAAGCTCAATTCATAAAATGGAATGGAAAAAAAAATCTGTGCCTCATTTGAGTGTTCCCCATCCCACATCAGAGTTTTAGTTACAAGCACGCTCCCAAGCAATTATCCACTCATATGGATAATTGCAAAAACAATACACACAGTCATAAATCTTTATTCATAAAAAAAATTGTTTATTTGTAATCGGGTCTTTGTGTGTGTATCCAAGATTTGAAAACGATGTTTTAAATCTACTGCAGCCTTTCTGTTCACCAGCAGAGGTCACTAAAACCAAAGTAGTGCTGCACCGATCGAATATTTTGGTACTGTATTCGTTTATCCAACTGAAAATTCAAATTGAATTATCGGGTATTTGGATTTTTAAAATGTATATATTTTTTGCAAGGTTCAAGAGACTGAAAAAAATATCCACTTCAACGGCCAACCGGTTTTCATTTTTAGATCAACTTGAATGTGAAAATGAAAATGACTTAAACTGGGCATATCAGTACACTATTTTGCTCTATCGAAAATTTTGGTCGATGAGACAAAATTACGTCAGAGGGACAGAAGTGATTTTGCCAGATAAAACAACACACTTGAGTAAGCCTGGTTAATCAAAAGTGGTCAGTGGGAATGGCAACTGTCAGGATGTCAGCATTAAAGTTTGCGGAGTCATTTAACCTGTGTGCAGGCAGCTTCTTGCGCCGTACAATACAGTGTCAGCAAACCTTTTTTTTTAGCGCCCCACATTATTTCAGGTGTTTATTTTTTCTAATTAAGTAGTACAAGTTAAAGGTCACATTAACGGTGGGGGAAAAAAACTTGTACAATGATTTATCTTGATTTGTTTTTTATATCACAAAAATTGGCATTTGAACAGGAGCGCACAAAAGTTTTATGTTCACTCACTGTACTTTCTTTCAAGTAACTGCAAATCACTGCGTTAGAAAAATCACCTGTTAAGCAAAAACCTGCCAAACTTGACTTTTACCACAAAGGTGATCACTTCTACAAGCAATTTCTTGATTTACTGTACCTTCATTCACTGTTAATGCAGTCAAGATCCTTATTTGCCTTAAAAATTGTCCTGAAACCAAATTATACAGTTAATGATTACTGTCTCCCGATCCTGAGATCACATTTTTGGTGGTTTAGAAACAGAGCGTAACAAAAAGATAGTGTTCTTTTTTTTTTTTTTTTTTAGTTTCCATCCTTCCTTGGTCATCTGTTTTTTTTTTCATGTAAATTTACCATCCTTGGTTCCAAAAATTCCACTCACGTATGGCACTCCAGGTTTTCTTGTCGTAGCGATTTGGCAGCTGGCGGTGAATGCTGTTGGTCATCCTCTGCCTGACAGTGAGAGTACAGATGTTCTGGCTTCCGTGCCACAAAGAAGACACAGTCATAAATGTATCTTAACATGGAACGTTCGTTCTCCGTGTAGGTGGTAAGCAGAGACTGATTCTCCACCTGTAGGAAATCAAATGTTATTTTTGAATCGGCAATCTGTACATAAACACAAAATGAAAGGAGGCATAGGCCTGTCACGATAACGGCTGTATCGACTTTGTGTTGCATAAATAAAGTGGTGAGGATAGTTTTGTTTTCTCCTTTGAGAAATTGAAATTGTCATTTGCATGCTTGCTTGTTCACATTCAACATTCAATCGCGCCACTTCCTTTCCTCCCCTTGTCAAATTGCTTGCCACTGCGTGCCATTGAACCACACACACGCGGAGCCACGCAAACATGCAGGACAAAAAAGTAATTTGTGTTATTGAAGCTAAGTTTTCCGATGGCTGTAGTTGGACAATTCTAGAAAGTTGAGAAGCATACATTGGAATTATTTCCAAATACGAATGACTATGGCCATGTGGGTGCGAACAGTTTGGATTCAAGCCAGATGACAAAATCGGGTTAGATTTCCCAAACAGCCGTTCCAACGTTGTCCAAGCAGGTGAAAGAGGACATTTTGAGATGGAAGACACAGATGTGTGCCTGTATGTTATGCTTTCATATTTAAGTGCAATTATAAAGTTATCATTTCTATCAGTGATCAGTGGCAGTCCAAAAATATCAATCACACTATTGTTTATCGCAATGGTTTCTGGGAAAATATATTGTCCTAAAATATTTGCTTATTGTGACAGGCCTAGGGAGGGCTCTAAAAGGATTCAATTAATGGGTTTACCACTATCTGGAAGCCTAATTTCACCATAGCTGCCCTGATGTCTTCATAGCTGAGTTCCACTGAGAGCTCATTGGCCATGTTCTCAAAATGGTACAACAGCGGACCTGAGGGGAACAATAACATTAAATATGTGATTTTTACATGAAAAAAAATGATTAAGCTTCAACCTCTCTAAAATACCGATTTGCAGAAAACCCCCCAAAATCATTACCGAATGCCAAATTTTGGTCAAATCTTTTTGATTGTGATTTATACGAGTGCATTATAGAATATAGAACAAAGAAATACAATTCTACTTTATCGACACAAAACAAGCACAAAATCCTTGTCTTCCGAATTAAGTGTAGTAAGCATCTGACATATTTACATGTTGCCATTTTAAGCCTGAACAAAGAATAAAAGGGAATAAATGAATGCATGCATACAAATGTAACGGTATGCAACACTGAAACTAACCTTTTTATATTGTTTACAGACGGGGACTGTGACGAGGACTCACCCAGATTAATCCACACTCCTCCAGGTTTAAGAATCTTCCAGATGGTCTCCACATACTGTATGACATTATGAGCCGTGTCGATAAAGAAGCAAGTAGCCACACAGTCCCAAGAATCTGACACATACATGCCATTTATTAAATATACGTCAGCACTTGTACAAAGTTGATCATGTAAAATACAAATCATTGCTGTCGACTGTCATATTTGTGTTGATAAATTTAATCACAAAGAATTTCCAGTCATCAAGTTGAAAAGCGTTATTAGCCCTAAATAGGTACTTGCCTTATGTTCAACAACCACGAACAAATCCCACCTGCCTTCTATTAAACATTTGTGGATTGCAATGACAAGTACAAAATTATACATGAGTAAAAGTAGGTAAAATTGTTGCTGGCCCCAGTGACAATGAGTAAAACCCACAATAGTCACCGAATTAGCTTCACACTGTTAGAAGTAATCATGTTTGTTTTTTACTAGAAATTAACTAACAGATTTTAATAAGAAACTAATTAAACAGGCTTTGCAAATATGCCATGTTATAACGTGGCAACCTGTGGTTGTTAATACGAAGTGGCCAATGTACTGTATGTATACATTTGTTTTTATGACTGAATTTAGCTGTTGTGGCTTATTATCAGGTACATTTTGTAGTCTGGAAATTCCGCTAAGTAAATATATTTAACCACATACTTACACATTTATGTACAGTATATACAAGTCTGTATGTACATTTCTATATTATTTTTAGGTGTACTTTTTTTTTTGCCATGGCATTGGATCAGGACTTGATATCGGCAGATCCTTAAAACTGAAGACACGGACACCAAAAAAGTGCAATCAGGAAAAAAAATTAAAAAATAAGGTATTTTTTAGCTGTAGTTTTATGCTGTGATATGATATTTTTGCTCACGGTTATCATACCGTCAGAATCTAATCTGCCTAAGTGAGACACATACAATTGACCCCTTGGCCCAATAAGGTTGTAGTTGACTGACCTGCATCAGAGTAGACTTCTAGAAAGTCCCCTGCTACCATGGAGAAGTCTGAATCTTGCGGTAGGCTCTGAGGATTGACATCAGGAAATCTGATGGCCCGTGTCTGATCGGACGACTTCTTATTGTTGCTGAACTGGTGAATCCATGGGTACAGTGTCAGACAATTCACCTTTTCACACCTGAGTAAAACAGACAAAAAGAAGAATATTGTTTCAAGGAAGTAAATCAACAGATGAACCAATGCAGGATTTCTGTCTGTGCACAATGTACCTATTAAGAACAAAGTTAGAAGAGAAGAGCATGAAGAAGCTCCATTCGTTTCCCTGGCAAATATAACCCAGACGAGCAATTTCCCAGGCTAGACGACCAAGTCCAGCCCCCGGGACCAGCACGCTGACCTTAGACACATCACTGACATAATAAAACACACATATCACATGGAAAACACTCACTAGTTTACATGACCACAATTATATTGTGATTACAGCAAATGGATGTTTGTATCATTATGTCAACAACACACGATAAATTGTGTGCAACACACATCTGAGCAAAATACATCTGTGCATAGTGTATCATTGCATTGTTTTGTAAGAACATAAATGTGATTCCTACTATTGGTCACTTGGGAAGTGCCTTTGGATCTCCCGGATGATGGGCTGATAACAGGAGTCCCGCTCCCCCTGACCCGCCTCGCTCCAGTCTCTGACAAACTGCTTTATGGTGGACTTGAGCTTGTCCATGTCAAAAGTTGAGGAGGAGCGCACCTTCCTCGGATCCTCCTGAACAGGGAATAAAAACACATTTGCACTAGATCCATCCATCCATCCATCCAGTGTCTACGGCGAACATCAGGGATGGGCAACTGGAGGCCCGCAGGCCACTAATTTGCCACAATTTTTGTTCCAAACCCAGAAAAAACGCTGTCGGGTTGCAAGGCCTAAGAGCCCATTAGTGAGGTATGGAAGATAAAAGATGTATAAATGATGTAACAGGAGCGGCAAGTCAAGATGAAGTGACGCTGATGTGACGGATTTATATCGAAATAAATTAATGGGTTAACTCCCAGGAATAGGTCGTTCCTCCAGTTTAAATTTGGAATCGATTTAAATTGTAATTTCCAATTTGAACTCTACAGTGCACCAAACCACAGGACACACAAATGCAATTATAGATTGATAGCCCATCAAGCCATGTGACGTGAGAACAAAATATATATGATTTTTTTTAATGCAATGATTATACAAAAAGTGATATGGGTGTTGTAATGATAATTGCAACATATTCACATGATATGGCTTGCAGTAGAAGTACTGTGATGTTGTTTAACTATTATTAGTATTATGACGGCTTGATTAATGTAATGTCAAGTGATTAATGCTTTTCTATGACAAAATGATTCACATATTGACTCAGTAACTGCTTCATATATATTATAATTTGATGTGCCCATGTTCATGTTGTACTCATGAATATGAAATTAGGATTTTACAAAGTGTTAGGCCTAGTAAGCTAAAAGATTTGCCAATGATGCAAATTGTATTATCGGTGCCGGTTTGCAAGTTACTGCAACAAAGCTAAATTGTAAAAATAAATAAAAAACTTACAATAAGTAAAAACTCAACTCAAAAATACGTTTTTAGACAAATATGACTCAAAAATACGAACTGCATGTCAAATCAGAGTTAAGACTTATTTGAAGGTTAAGTTGATATTGTTGTGCTTGACACTGATCATCATGACACTGACGAGTTTGGTGTGTACACAACTTTGCATGTATTAAGGTATTTTTTGTGTGTATTTGTTTTATAGTTTTTGTAATTATTGAAATTGAGATGTGAACTACACTGTGTCTGTGAGTGTGAATAACATTTTACATATTTTATATTACATTACTTAGCATACTATACCAGCGTAAACAGAGAGACCCCACACAAGAGCAAAAACATGTTGGTGAGTACTCACCCTCTCCCCACACTCGATGTTCTCAAACATGTGAATGCTGTGCTGGACGATGGCCTGGAGAACTTCATGGTTGTGGTCTGCACATTGCCGGATGCGGGCCAGGTTTGGCAGTACAGACGGCAGTAAATTCTGGTGGCGCTGAGGAAGACTACGAAAGTGACGCTCGGCTCGATTCACGTGCTCTTGTACATGCCTCCTAAAGAAAATGAATAATATGGTCATAAACCTCTGTGTGTGCGTGTGTCCACAAACGTTGTTGCTTTGGTGTGCACAACTTTTAAGTTATTTGCACATCCAAGTAGTGGTGAAGCATATATAACACAGGTGTCGAAGTCCGGTCCTCGAGGGCCGGTGTCCTGCATGTTTTCCATCCCTCCCTGCTGCAACACACCTGATTCAAATGATCAGGATCACTATCAGGCTCAGATAGTAGTGATGGGAATTCCGGCTCTTTTTAGAGAGCCGGTTCTTTTGGCTCGGCTCACTAAAAAGAGCCGGCTCTTTTTAGTGAGCCGAGCCAAAAGAACCGGCTCTCTAAAAAGAGCCGGAATTCCCATCACTACTATCTGAGCCTGATAGTGATCCTGATCATTTGAATCAGGTGTGTTGCAGCAGGGAGGGATGGAAAACATGCAGGACACCGGCCCTCGAGGACCGGACTTCGACACCTGTGATATATAAACATCATAGCGATACATTGCAAATGTCTGAAACGTTAAAATTCTTCTATCAGCATAAGTATTGTTTACAGTCTTCCTTTCGAAGAACATAATGTGTAATAAAGGAGATGTGCCAAAACAAAGTGAGCGATTACAAATCAGACAAATTCGTAAATAAGTAGAGCGGAGAAATGAATGGACAGCGAAATGAACACTTGCTACAAAACCAGCTCTGCGTTTAGCTGTCAGTTTTTTTCGCAAACCCTTTGACATACAACAACACCTGTAATATCGAAAGGCATCGATTATCCTCCAAAAATGTTGCCTTTCTAGTCTGGCTTCTTCCTCGGGGCTGAACGTTTTTCTGTCCCTGGGAAAATCTCCAGTTAGCGGTGTCTCCTCTTTTGTTTCCGCCATTTTTGTCTCGAATTTGGGAGCATCACGTTCTTCTTCTTCTTCTCCTTCTTTTCTTCTTCTTCTTCTTCTTCTTCTTCTTCTTCTTCTTCTTCTTCTTCTTCTTCTTCTTCTTCTTCTTCTTCTTCTTCTTCTTCTTCTTCTTCTTCTTCTTCTTCTTCTTCTTCTTCTTCTTCTTCTTCTTCTTCTTCTTCTTCTTCTTCTTCTTCTTCTTCTTCTTCTTCTTCTTGACATCTTTTTGCCGGGTGTCACGAAACGTTGAGATGAACTACCGCCGCTTGCTGATAGGGAGGGTGAACCAAGTATGAATTTTAGAATTCAGAATCCAAAAATCCATCCATTTATGATCTGATCTGCTTTAAACTCACGAATTTCGCGGCCGTGCTAGAGCCTATCCCAGCTGTTTTTGAGCAGTAGGCGGGGTACACCCTGAACTGGTTTTCAGCCAATCGCAGGTCACATAGAGACAAACAGTTCGCTCTCAAAATCACACCTAGGAACAATTTAGGGTATTCCATCAAAATACCATGCATGTTTTTGGTATGTGGGAGGAAACTGGAATACCTGGAGAAAACCCACGCAGGCAGGGGGAGAACATGCAAACCCCACACAGGAAGGCCGGGGCTGGATTCGAGCCCACGACCGCTGTACTGTGAGGCGGACGTGCTAACCTGTCACCTGCTGTTCCACCCACTCAATGTGTTTCACGTAATTAAAAGTAAAACATTTAATAGCTATTCAACGGCTGCAACCCTACATTCAACCTCGCTGTTACAATGTTGTACTATATATTTATTGTTTAATAAAACACATGTCTGTAGGATTGCTGCTCAAAATTGCTAAACTGCTCCTAAAATGAAGTTATTAATTAACAAAATTGTTCCTCAAAGAAGAAAGTTATTTTGAGCCTGGGTTATTAATATCTCATTCCATTTCAATGCAATTCCTATTGATAAAATGGTGTTCCAAGTATTTGAATTGCTGTAATTTATTGCTTTAGTAATGGTCACTGATGGTTAGTAGGCAGCGTGGCTTCAGTTCTCCACTTAGTGATGGTGTGAAAGTGCGTGTGAGTGGTTGGTTGTCTCTAAATGTGCTGGTGACCAGTCCACAGTGCAGAGTGTGTTTTGTCCATTGTCAGCTGAGATAGGCACCAACTCCCTGAGTGACCCCGAACAGGGTAAGCGAGATGCAAAATGGATGGATGGATTTAATATTATCCTCCCACAGTATAATATTTTATTTCAGACACCAAGGTTTTTATATGGCTCATGATTTGGTAAATTTAATCACAAAAATAGCACAAATTTAATCTGTGAATGATTTGGTGTGTCAGTTTCACCGTGAGTCCATAGTTTGTTCTACCAGCTCATTTAACAAGAAGAGCGAAAATAATTGAAACACAAAGTCCGCAGGATTGCTTTATTCTTATGATGACGACAATAATGATGATGATGATCATCATCATGATGATACACCAACTGGTGTCCATCAGATTTTCGGATTAATGATCTTGCCCATAAAGAGAATGTCGTCTGTGGTGTTTTCGGTGATGAGAAGCATGAAGGGACGATTGAACTTCAGCTCAGGGATGTGTTGGAAAGACATCAGAGTGATGCCAATGCCTGTGGCGGCTGCAGCGGTGGCTCCGGCCTCGTCAATATCAAGGGCGGCTTGGTGCACAACCTGAAGTGAAAAGAGGCAACGTGACATATCGCGGGAATGAAAAGAAGAGTCGAAAAAAAGTTGACCGCATCCTTACGCCGGAGACCAACAGTTTCTTCCCCTCCGAAATGCCACTCAAATCTGCTCGAACATCAAACATGTTAGTCATTCCCATTTCAGTCAGCAGTTCCTTTAGAGAGTAGTCAGTCTTCATGGAGATCTTTGGTACAAATATATCATAAGTCCTAAAAGAAAGAGGCAAACGTACCGTGATTCAAATGATCACACCAGCAGCAAATCGAACTAGCTTCTCCATCAAAAATATGAACGGACCAACCTCTTTTTCATCCATTTTGACCATTTAGTGAGATGCTGTGGACATATTTCCTTTTCCAGTAACGCCATGTTTTCAGGCAACAACAGAAGCATGGAGTAAGAGCTGTTGAAGTGAAGGCGCAGGATCGTCGTGTTGATTGCCATATCCTGATAGATATCAAAATCATCCTCTTTGTTCATCATCTGGACAGGAACCTGGATAATAAATACAATTCAGAATGAAATTGGAGATCTCCTTCTTGCATCACCATTCTAACTTTTTTTTTTTCCATGTTGTAGCTTCCAACCTCGGTATTCTCATCAACCATAAACTTGTCTTCTTTTGTGAGTTTGGCTTCAAAAGGACTGTCCCACATTCCTGTGTGAGAGGAATGAACACAAATAAGAGCCAACACAACATTTTCATGTCAGATCTTGAAAGAGACCTATTTTTCGGAAATGCTGTCAAGTGTACCTTTGAAGTAGATGTAGCTTATGAGATACATGATGGTGCCTGGATCCAGGTCCTCCACCAACTTATCGATCTTGCCATGGGTCTTATCCGACACATATTTATTGATGGTATCGGTACTTTCTGTTGTTTGTTGGAAGTTGACATTCGACACATCGGTGTGAAAGGCTTCTTTCAAATCTTTTAGGAACTCAGGGTTCGGCTCGAAGGTGTTATCCAGAAACACGGCGGTCCCTTCACTGATGTCGGAGGAATTATCTTGCCTTTTGAGAAGCATACTAAAGGCCTGATTGATGGCACTCTGGGTAACTTGTGAGCTGTTGTAGCCCAGACCACTCAGCAGCTGTTCGTGTGTGTCCCCCCGGGCTCCGACAGACAAGGCAGCCAAGGCGACAGACACACTACTTGGAGAGTAAAAGATGTTCTTGCCCTGGTTGTCAGGATGAGCCGCCAACCTCCTGTACAGGTGGAAGGCAAACTCTTTGTTTCCTGAGCTCACGTGTGAGAGGCTGTCATCATCAGTGTGTCCCACATGGTGGTGGCCTCTTCCCAAACACACCACCACTGATAAGATCCAGACACGCAGGGCCGTATGCATCGTTGTGGACTAGGGGGCAAAGGTTCAAATGGACAAAATTGATCTTGTCATTACACAACATTAGACCACATGTCAAAGTTCAACAAGCAAAGTATACTTTGTCAGGGTGATGTACCGTATTCCCTCAAGGCAAGCGGTACACGAATGCAGAATTAAATACTGTACAACCTTTTTTTTTCGTCATTTTATAACCGTTCCACGTGCTTTACTACTGACCGGAAATTGCTCTGAGCCAGTTCGTTGTGTACGATTTTTGCACCTCAACTTCTGACATTTTTTTAAAATTTCAAACAAATGATTCACTGGCAAACTACTGTCCGTCGATTTACAGCAAGGTTGTCCAACCCTGGTCCTCAAGGGCCCCTTATCCTGTGTGTTTTATAGGTCACCCTATACCCCACAGGTGTCAAAGTCAAGGCCCGGGGGCCAGATCTGGCCCGCCACACCATTTTATGTGGCCCGCGAAAGCAAATCAATCATGTCAAGTTCCACGATGCTTGCTAAAGTCTGAACCAAAATTTCAAATTATCATATGTAAACCACAATAACAGTCATTATTCTTCACTTCTGATTGTAAAACTAGTTATTGATGAATTTGTTGTGCGCTGTGTATGTAATATATGGACGGGATTAAACATTTATATGCTTTCCCAAAATTCATAACGGCCCTCCAAGGGAAAGCGTAACTACAATGTGGCCCGTGACAAATACGAGTTTGACACCTCTGCTGTACGCCATCACACGCGATCGAAATGATCAGGATGGTTCTCGGGCTTCTTCAGAGCTCGCCAATGAGCTGATCGTTTGAATCAGGTGTGTTGGAGTAGGGAGACATATATAACACACAGGACAGCGGTCCTCCAGGACTGCAGCTGGACATGCCCGATAGACAGTACAGTACTTGACAGCAATGTGGATCACAAGCTTGAGAGTGACCGACCACTTTCATATACCGGTACTCTATCTGCACTCCCTCCACCGGATATCACCTCCATTTGTTTGGTCCGCTAACAACCTATTTTGTAATTTCGTTTTTGTTGAAAAAGCATTGTTTTATTTAGTGTAGCAACATACTTGATTTGTCCCATTACAGTACTTTGGAAAAACACAATGTTGAAAACACTAAATACTGGTTAAAAAAAAAAAAGACAGAAAGAAAAAAAAACTTTATTGCCACAAAACATTTTCCCGGGATCTAAACTTTCTGTTGTAGCGTTCGAGCAACTGGCTTTGATGTTTCAGTCAAAATGCATATACAATAACACAAATATTCAATGTGCTTGAACAATGTTTAAGTTATTCATTGCCATGTTTCGGCAAAAATGTCAGGGAAGTCAGAAACAGCTTTCGTCCTATGTAGGGGAAGAACTTTATGGGTCATGTGATCGTTTTATATGTTGTGAAAAGGGAATTAAAATGTGGATGTTGAGTAACTTACCAATCGCTGACTGGCTCTCTGGCCTCCAAAACCTCTGCCACACCAAGCAGAGTGCGGACAGTCAGGACTGTCTTCTTTATACACCTTGAGTGGGTGGGATGAGCCCGCTCTTTGTGTGTCATCGTCTCTTGTCCCCTCCCATTTTGTGTGGGAGCAGTGGAAGCAGAATGGGCATGATCATGCAGTGTACTTTGACCTAGATCAGTGGTGCCCAAACTTTTTGGATCAAAGATCGGACTTTTCGATCAACCAACCTTCCGCGATCGACCCGTTACCGCATGACCTGCGCCACTGGAGGTTAAAGATTTACCTGCTTTATTTTATTGTATTTTTTTAATACTTTCTGTGAAAATGAGACTGATAGGATGATTAGGGTGCAGTGTACATTAACACAAAAAAATATTACTAACATGCACAAAGACACACAAATTGTTTGGGTTTTTTTTCTCCTCTACACCCCTCGCGATCGACTTGGGACCAGTCCGCGATCTACCGGTCTATCGCGATCGACGTAATAGGCACCCCTGATAGATTTTGGGCTCGGAAACTTGACATCTCACTATTTACACATTCAGGCAAAGATTAATTTCCGTAAGTCATCCCCATACTGAGCAAAATGTTTCTTGCGTTACTTTTATTTTGATTCCATATTAAATTGTCTCACCAGTGTATTATCCTAATTTTCATCCCACCTATGAGGCAGAGCAACTGAACTTTGGTTTAGTGTACTGTACTCTTCTGTGTGCTCTCTCTGTGGTCCCAGTAATGTTTGCTGCCCCACTGTGACAACACCCGAGTTTGCACAGTGCAGATAAAGAATGTGTACAAAAACCCTGCAAACTATGTTTCAGTAACTCTCGACCAGGTAGTCGTCTTCCTCTACCGTGTGCAAAGCTGAAGAAAATTACCCTTGCAAAATGCACCTGAATTTCACATGCATGCATGTCAAAACATTTTCACACTGAGTTTATTCAAACAACAAAAATAGAGATAAAAAAGAAGACACACACTGTGTAATCATGAACATGAATATAATCACAGGGTTGACAGAGGGGGGTGAAATGTGATGACGAATGAAATGATTCTAGGGGCCCAGGACTGTCAGTGAGCATAGAAAATAGTATTTTTCAATTTGCATCATTGAAGTTAAGCCAAAAGGATGTTTGTGATGTTTTTTTTTCATCAGAAGGACCAAAATCCCCAGCTGCACCCCAATGGCTGGCTTCAATTATGCGTGCCAAAAAGTTGCCTATCCAGACGGATAAGTTGTCGGAGGAAACCTCGGTTCGGAATGATCTCCCTGTTTTCTTTCACAGCACAAATAGCCTCCACCAGGGTGAGCCGCTGCTTCAGCATCAAGTATGCCAAGACCAGGGTGGCAGAACGGCTCACTCCTACATGACAATGCACCAGAACATGACCTGAAGAAATACAAGACAGGAAATTAAAAGTTGCTTTCAGTTGCTCATTTTAACCGTAGCTGCCTTCTTCATTCCAGTTCTCACCTCCTCTGCGAAGAGCTGCGTGAATAAAGTCTGCAGCTGCCTGGAAGTTGACGCTGATGTCAAAATCGTAGGAGTCATTTGCCTCTACACCCATGTAGGTGATCTTCAATCCTTGGTAGATGTCAGGACATCTTCGACGTTTACTGTGAGCTGCGTTAAGGATATGAGTGATTCCATGCCTGGCTAAACCGTTCCAGTTCTCTGCACTGTGTCTGTGGAGTTGAAGGACAAAGCGTGACTGTGCTGACAGCTTTTGTATGCTGTTTGCTACAAAGGGGTAACAGCGTTTCCCAAAGAAATGCAAAGTGCCAGTACATCAGTGTGGCTCTTTGACTGTGTACTGAAGAACCATTCAAAACATTTTTTTTTTTTTTTGCAGTGCAGGAAAATGTAGCAGACTTAATGCACAAGTGAATGATGGAAACCCAAATAGCAGAGCTGTCACCATGCTGAATGGAACTTGAGGTGTCTAGAATTACTTGTGTACTTAAATAACATTTATTTTGATACATGTGGACTCAAACATTCATGATATTCAACACGGGTAATGTAACAAAAAAAAAGTATTGGAGATCACTTCAATTTGGCCCGGATTGTTTTCTTTTCAGCATAAAAAAATGCAATCGAGCTACTTACTGATCACCAATGTAGAGCCTTGGCCACACTTCATCTGCGTGACTGATGATGGCTTTGCCAGTCAACAAGAGTCTTTCCAATTCAAACACTGCTAAACCAGGAGAACTCAAGTCAATTTCTACCTTCCTTGGAGGAGGTCTGTCTTTCCAGGATGCAGGAAGTTTGGATGTAAACGACATCACTTTCCAGTGTTGGATTTTAAACACTCGTCTCAGGCAACAAAAATGTTTTGGGACAATTTCCTAGGGATTATTTCCATGCAAGTGTGCAACCAGCACAACCTTTAATAGAGGAAAGCTACACTAACGGCAACATGTCCAAAGCGTTGTGAGACTATCGGCCCCTTGCATTAATTCCTGCCCCCAACACTTGGGGTTCTACTGCTGTGCTTTTGCATCAAAATAGCCGCCTATTTATAGACCAGAGTGCTCGCTAGCAATGCAGTGCAATGTCGGTGCCATGCAACAGTTTTCACAAATACAGCAACACTTCTGTTTTTTTCTAAACATAAATCACATTTTTTAATTTGCTTCACATTAAAACAAAATCCGACATGTACCTACAAAATTTGACAAACAACATCAGGACTAAGATTGTAAGAATGACAAATTTCACCAGAGTTAAAAATATAATCCATATTTTATTATTTGTCAGAATTCCCAATCGGGACAAATACTGTCATTTTTTACTGGCTTCATTTTTTTAATCTGCCAAATATTTCCATCTTGTGTTGGAAACATGCATTACAGATGACATTTTATATTTGGGCTGCATGTCATAGCACTAGAAAATGAAGATGTAGGACAGATGATACATTTTCCATGCAATACTTTTATTTTTTTTCTGAATACACTGAACATCCCGATACATGGAACTCTGTTATAATCAACACATCCATCATGTTTCAGGGGAAAATGTCTACACTGCACCACTTGGAAGAATTGTGCGACATTTAAAACATAATGAGATTAATGACAGAACCAACATATTTTGACTCGGGTGCTTTAACAAACACTGATGTTCAACAAATTAAATGGGTTCTTGACAATTTGGATGAGCAATTGGGAAAATGCATTTTCACTGCTCGAAGGTATGATGTTCGTTGGTTGGAAATCACAGGGCAAAAAAATGACAGTTATTTTCATATATATATATATATATGAAAATAACTATCGTTTTGTCTTTTTTTTTTTACTCATCCATCTTTGAATTGAGGTCATAGAGGTTGCAAAAGTATTGTGCATGCAATGCGGAGCACAATGGAAACAAAACACGCTGAACGAGAGCACTGTGATAACCTCAATGTATCGAGGGACTACGTGATCATGCAACTGGACGGTGACAAACACTAATGGGCAGTTAAGGCAATGTGCATATTGTGAAGAGCAAAGGACCCTTTTAAAACTGACACACAAGCAAGGACAGTAAGGGTGATTAGTTGATTGTGAATCACTTGTGGGGGATTAGCAACAGTTTGGGAGTGGCAATAATAATTCCCTCTTCCTTTCATCATTCAGAATACCACAAATCAAAACTCAGTCACAGACTGATTCCAAAGTTCCTGATGATATGTACAAAAAACGGTTTGCTGATCTACTACCAACAGCGTACTGGGTCATTTTTGATCATTTGTTTCAACTCTCTAGTTCAACTGAGATCTGGAAGAAGCCGATACGGTCTGAGGCCCAATAAAGTGGTTCATGACCGACTTTAGAAAGCTTTCCTTTCCAGCCGGTCGAGAATGGCCTGGATTCTCTGCACAGCCTCCTTTCGTGCTTGACGGATATTTTCAAGTCCCTGAGTCTCCACGGAGTCCAGCTCAAGCAGTTCTTTGGTTAGAAGTTCCTCCAGGCATCGATAACTCTTATCTGTTTTTTTACCCACAAACTCATCAACATCTTCCTGAAGAAGGAGCACTCTTGCCACGATTTGCTGAACCCGAGCTAAGCTGGGGTTGTCGCTGACGGGTGGGGGTCCAGCTTTGCCTGGAGCTTGAGATTGGGTAGGTGCAGAGGGTGGGGGCTCACCTTGAGAGTGATTTTGATCAATTTGCCCTGCTTTCTTGTAGATTTGGGGAGGTGAACTCATTTCTGTGGGTTTCCCATTGGTGCGATTTGGGGATGTGGTTAGCCTGGGTTTAGGTCCCACTTGCGGTGCACGCTGGTGTTGTTGGTCCTGGAATGACACAAAACACAAAACTATTTTGCATTTCCATAAAGAAAGCATATTACTGCATTTGACCTTAAATGAGGTTTGAAACCTTGTGCTTTGTTTTACAATCTACAGTGGTGAGAAGGAAGTATCAAATGAAAAATACTGTTCCTCTCCTTAAGTAGATTTTTCAGAGAGAGAGAGAGAGAGAGAGAGAGAGAGAGAGAGAGAGAGAGAGAGAGAGACGCATACACTTTGCACTCCACACTGTGTAAAAAAATTTTAGATTTTTCAGAGAGAGAGAGAGAGAGAGAGAGAGAGAGAGAGAGAGAGAGAGAGAGAGAGACGCATATACTTTGTACTCCGTACTTTGTCAAAATACTTTTTAGGGCGCACACACTGATCCAATGCTACTGTCGATGATGTGACACAATTAACTCTCCCTTTCTGGTCCCACACTGTCCTGCACTGACACTGCATTCTGCTCATCTCCAGTGGAGCACATTTACTAGTGGCAACACATCATGACAAAACACCCGACTTTGTCAAAATCCAGAAAAACTACACACGGGGTTACAAGTGGTACCTTGGCCGAAAGATTCAAACTTCCTTAGCTCTAAATGATCATTTTCATTTGCATTAACGGGGAAAACCCGCCAACATACGTTTCTATAGTTCTTTCCAACTTGCAAACTCGGAGTAGTGTAAAAACATATAATACAGATTACATTCCATTTGCTCACACCTTGGGTTGGTAAGGTGGTGGGGCACCACTTCCGGTCCCTGGCCAAGCTGGAGGGTGTAGCGGCCGTATTCCATAATGATTTGGAGGAAGCTGTTGGCCTGGCTGCCATTGCTGCTGTGAAGGTGCGTATGTGCCAGGGTGTGGCCAAGCTTCAGCCGGGGGGTTGGTGTGCAGAGACTGGCCCGTGGGATAAAGCGTGTTTGGAGGCATTGCATGACCACCTTCACTGTAGTGAGTATATGGCCCCGGAGGATATCCAGGACCCTGGGCACACAGAGATGTGACACAAAGTAAGTTGGGACCACCCAATAAAAAACATTAAAACCCTTGTATTGTGTTTGGGTCCGAATTGACCCATTTTCAGGTTAGCAACAGATGGGAACAGCTTTCCAACACAAGGGTTTTAAATGAGAAGGAATGATGCAAATGGCCTTGGTGTTCATTCTGTGTTTATTTAGGTGATGCTTTGTGTGTTTAAATGTCCTTACCGCTTGACAGTGTATACCAGGATAGTGATGGTTTTGTGAATGTGGCTGTCCAGCTTGCCCACTGTTTTGTTCTGCAGGACAGCTCTGACTAGGGTAAGAAGCTGGAGGCGTTGTCTGAGTGTCAGCACAGTAGAAAGGGTTGGATGGGTGGAAACCACTCGTTGAATATTGACTCTGTGCTGGGCTGTAGACACCATGGCCGTTTGGATAACCTCCAGAAATTACCTACAAAAAGTTGGAGAATTGAGTAATTACAGTATTCTGTAACGCACAATTCCTATGATGTGAGAGGTGCAAGGTCACATATAATTTCATATGGACCTTTGAATTCTTGGGCTTTTAAAACAATAATTCCCATGGGAAAAAAATTGTGCATTCCAGTGTCACACTTGCCATCCCAAAAGCTTTAATTGTACAGGTGATGTTTAAATGTTGATGGTTAATTTAAAACTGTAGCAATCTTAACCAAAGTACCGTAATAATAAAACAACTAACACAGTTGCTGTTCCTATCCTGAGCTGTCTAGTTATCGTGAAAAATCTATTTAGAATACAGAAGGTCGTGGTAAGATAACGTAAATAAAGGTTTAAAAGATTGTGATTAGGATACTTCTCCACCTTTGACACCAAGTTATGTTCAACCACGAAACATACCTGTGGGTTATACTGTGGCTGGCCATCAGATCCAGAGGGATAGGCATTTGCATAGTGTCCCGTGGAGTGAGCCTGAGGATACCAGTAGTGTGATGGGTAGCCTGAATACTGTGGAGTGTCCTGAGAACACAACACACCACAACACAATCTAAGAGTGTGAAATGGACCTGGTTCTGCTATTACTCCTGACCCTTTTTTTGGTATGGTTACATCAAGCCAGGTCTGTTTGAGCTCCACTGAGAAAAATGCACTATGGCTGGTTAAAAATGTTTTTTGTCTATTTATAGAGGTGAAAACACCTCTATAAATAGATTTGATGTCGACTGGAATCCCATATTTGGTCTAGTTCTCAAGTTGATCATTTTCATGCAATACTTCGATGTTTCTCGCAGGTGCGGTGGCACAACTCATCTTTGACCCCCTCAAAAGTGTTGAAAGGTAGCTTGCTTTTTTTGTATCGACATAACTCTTTTGATTTGGAGGTATTTGAGGTCATGCAAACAAGGTACTGTACATCCAATTTGTAAGATGCCGATGAGACAGTGGCAACATTTTTGATCATTCCAAATTAATCAATTATTGTAATTACATGAAGGATAAGTACAGTATTATTAATCAGCTTGTAAAATCGTACTATTTCATGTGGAGTCTCTCCTCTTTATGATTTCAGTCCACACTTAGTAACGTGTGAGGCCTCAAGGTCTCAGCTTCATTCCTTTTCTTAAAAACTAATCACAACGCATTCTGTCTTCAATGTGAAACAAGGGATCATTTTTGCACGTTTTTTGAAGTCTTCAAAATGTCATCGCTTAGTAACTTCTTGACATATTGACACAATTTAAGCACCATTTCTTCCTTTTTTCCACCGTCTTTTCAATTAAGTCGGCCTTGACAACAATAAAAAGAGTTGCTTTATTATCCTTTTTTTTTTATGTCATGTCCATAAACACTTCAACGAATTTCACCTTTGCTCTCATAGCAAGACGCAGACTTGGAGATTGGCACCGACTCATTCATGTTATCAGATGAAAGAAGTAAACAGTAAAGCAGAACCTGACCACGGCCAGACAGAACGTAAAGCATTCCAGTCTCAACCACTGTTGCGATGTTGTCACGCAAAAGTAAACGTGATTCGCAAGAAATTTAGCTGGGCGAACAAGGAGGCGCTAGCTATTACATAATAGCAGTTAGCACGTTAGCCCCGAAGCTAGCATGGGCAAGAGCTTTGCGAGCCCTTGGCGAGCTTCTCTTTTACCTAAAGCAGTAACACAAAACATCTAATGTGCAGCTTTTATACACAGCGGGTGCTTTAGTCTGACTCACCATGTTTCTTACGGCGGTTTCCGAGGTTATTATCCAAGTTGTACCTCGAGGGCCAGGCAGATTTCACTTCATTTGACGGTTATGTACAAGCTAAACGCACTCCAGGCAATGTTATTAGAATACAACCCCTTCTGATATATCTATAAAAAGCTCTAATTACAATTGTGGTAGACAAACGGAGGGGGAGTGAGAAGTACAGACGATAAAGATCAGGAAATGATTGAATGGCTGACGACACTGCACCGCGTCAACGTGTTTATCCTAATGTGGATGGCGAATGAAGGTAAAGAGAAACTACTCAGATTTTTTTAAGGACACCGTGTACAGGGTGACCAAAAAAGACAGTTACGCTGTCAAAAAGGACATTGTGCATAGTAGATATGTATTTGTGTATTTTTAACATTTTATAGATAGTATCTAGTCAATGTTTTATTTTAACTTGTAACAGACACGAGTAAGCCTTCGAACGGTATAAACAATCTTGGTTACACGAAAAAATAGATTACTGTATAATTTAAATGTAGTAGTATTATTTTAAACCTATTTTTCAAAAATATACATCGGCATTCTCAATCTCAACGCAGCTATAATTCCATAGGATTCAGGCGCTTAAGGACACAAATAAAACCAGATTCTCCAATACGCTTTGGCAGCCTAGCTAACGGGCATGCCAACATGGCATGGCGGCCATGTTGGGAGGGACAACGTTCCCCATCAAAGGCAATGCGGTGACATGGAAATGCGGTCGTAATTTCCTCAATTCTTAACCACTTTCGTGAGGTTTACTTTTTGGTAAATGCCAAAAACGTGTGTTAACAAGACAGTACACTTGACCAAAAAATGTTCCTCTTAATGAACCTGAGAACAATGATTCCTTGAGGTAATTAAACAACGTTGTGCCCATTTTTATGCAGCACAATGTGCAGGAACCTCCAATTGTTGGTTGTCTTGTAGTCCACACACGTGGAATTCACTGACGCCTTTGCCCCTCCTATCATTTCTATAGGCATGCAGATCAAATGGCCGTATCTATTTTTTTCTACTTGTCAAGATTTCAACATTACCCGGAAGTGTAATCTGGTGCTTATAAAAACACTTCCGGTCTCCCCCCCTTTCCTCCTCCCCATCAGAAACCTTTCGCGATGTTCATGGAGTGACGCTACGACAATAATAGAAGGCAATCAAGAAACAAGATTCCAAGATGAACTACGTACCAGGGACGGCAAGTCTCATTGATGAGATCGACAGTAAGTCTTCGAGGACAATCGACTCTCGTGGGAAGACCGCTCACAATCTTTGCGACTGACACATTCGCCGTCAATGTTGCTGTCTAATGCCTGCCTTACCTGTACTCTACAGAAAAACATCTGGTTCTCTTACGAGATGGTAGAACACTAATCGGGTACCTCAGAAGCATTGACCAATTCGGTACGTCTTTTTTAATTAACTGCCCATTGGTTTTCATCAAGACGCGTGTGTAACACAAACGAATGTTTTGCATTTAGAACTAATGGAACGTGCTTCTTACACCTGATGCCTTAGTTGTTATGTAAATTTCGCCCACCTAATTAGTTTATCTTTTCTTTCAGCCAATTTAGTTTTCCATCAGACAGTTGAACGTATCCACGTGGGCAAGAAATTTGGTGACATCCCAAGAGGAATCTTCATTGTGCGAGGAGAAAATGTGGTGCTGCTTGGCGAAATAGTACGTGTGACTTTTCTTTGTTTGTTTCACCAATCATCGGTCATTTTAATTCATCCGCAAAGTGTACCGTTCTAGAAAACGTGTACATGTAGTCACTTTTTGAATCATGCATTGCATCTGACGTCTCATGGTATCGTTTGTTTCACAACTCCACTCTCCCAAATGGTGATTTAAAAAAAAAAGTCGTCTCAACAACAATTATATCAACAAACTCCTTATTCGTGGTCCCATAACTCCTTGGCTCGGGTGTGTATCCAATAATGCTTTGACAATACGACCGCGGTTTTTGTGAGGTTTGTGTACTGTAGGTTTGGAATGTCTGTTCCTGTGTAAGATGGAACGGTTGACTTCATACGTCGTCCCATCCAAAAATCCTGGATGGACAAGGGGAATTCACTTGATTTTATTTTATATTGAAGACTTTTGGCTTTCAAAATCAAAAGATTAATATATTTTAAAAGTTCAGTAGTCCAGGTTTTATTTTATGGTATTTACATCTAGATGTGTTAAACAACTCGGGACGGAGCACCTTTTGTTCGAAGCCACCCACTTTTCAAGTGAGTAAAAGTATTGGAACATGTGATTGATTGGTGTTTCTAGTTGCTCAGGTGTTTCCTTTTTAGATTGATTGATTCCTTGGACATTAGAAAGTGCTTTTTTGGCTTTGTGTTTCACCTGTGAAAACTGCAATTGATGTTAAGCAAACATGAAGACCAGAGAGCTGTCTATGGGAGAAATGCAAACCATTTTGAAGCCGAGAGAAGCGGGAAAATTTACCAGTTATTGCGCAAATACTGGGCATGGCCAAGGTAACGTTTTGCAATGCCCTGAAACAGAAACTATTGATGTATGTCAGCCACAGACATCAAACAGGTTGCCAAGGGAATCAATAACAATTGATGACAGAAAAATTGTGAGAGCTGTGATGAAACACCCAAAGACAACAGTGTGTGATATCACTGCCAACCTAATGATGTTTTATTGGCACTGCTAAAATTGGCAGGTTCTCAGCAACTCATCTCTCATAAGGATGAACTTGGCTTTGTTCGAGTTTAGGTACATTTTACTAGAAAATTGTGGCTGCACTCAAACCATTTTTGGGGAGTGTGTTTGATTTTTCACTGCATATTAGATCTTTCTTTAGTCCCACAGATTGTTTTTTTTTTTTTTTTTTTAAATACAGGAAAGCATTTTTTTATGTACACAATTAACAAATTCCCCCAAATTCTAAAGTTTATTGTACACGTTCCTCAAATTTGAAAAGCGATTGCTTCTTTCAGTGGGATGAAAAAAGTGGACATTGCCTTTCAATGTTTGTGCTAAAACCTTTTCTATGCTCTATTTAAAAAAAAAAAATAT